AGACAGACAGACAGACAGACAGACAGACAGACAGACAGACAGACAGACAGACAGAACAGACAGACAGACAGACAGACAGAAAAGGAGGTAAGGGGTGTGTATTGTTAACACTCGCTTTTTTCTCCGGGGCTGTCATTATCGATTATACCATTAGCAACTACGGCAAGAACAACAGCAGCAGCAACAGCAACAGCAACAACAGCAGCAACAACAACAACAGCAACACCAACAACAGCAACATCAACAGCAACAAAGACAGCCATCACAACAACGTTGGAAATGACGAGCCGCACAGACTAAAAACAATACACAATAAGATAACAACAAAAACATCATCATCATCATCATCATCATCATCATCATCATCATCATCATCATCATCATCATCATCGTCATAATCATCATCACCATTATCACCACATCCGTATCATTGCCTTCGTCGTCGTTAAACCGAAGAAAGAAAAATTTATCATCATCATCATCATCATCATCATCATCATCATCAGCAGCAGCAGCAGCAGCAGCAGCAGCAGCAGCAGCAGCATTGTGTACAGCAGAAAATTAAAAAAAGGTTGAGACTAGGTAAAATTTTCAAAAATAGCATCATCATCATCATCATCATCATCATCATCATCATCATCATCATCATCGATCAATAGATACAACTACAACAGCAAAGTAAACAAAAAAGACACTAAGACAACGACACAAAACAGGTGAGACAAACATACCTGTCGTAACTACCTGTGTGTGACACACCGCACAGTGTCAGTCCCAACTGACAGTGACACTGACACTGACAGTCACGTCTCCTGTGACCAAGTCCTCACCAAACCTAACTCTGGCCCTATCACAGGACAGAGAGTGGGTCAGCAGAACTCCTAATCAATTACACAGGTCTGGCACTACACTACCCCTGAAACACTCAGCCTAATTATAGATCTCAGCTGGCTGGTAGCACCGTAATTGAATATTACTTAAAAGCTGACACACTAATTTTTCACACGGTAGCCGCCGTAACACACTCGCGCACACTTTCTCACTTTATCCCCCTGTCGTATGAAATTAGTATGCCTCAGGGTTATAATTACAGCGGGAGAATTCCGTCAAGACCTTATCCCTCCTTTCTCTTCTCGAGGCAGACGCAGACAAAGTGACAAATGTCAGAAAACGCCTGCACAGTTTTATTCACGCGCTCCCCGTGTCCCCCCGATTTCTCTTTCTTATCGTAAAAACCCACACACCTCCACACACACGCACACGCGCCGTGACCAGGTCTATCGAGAGACGTAGAAATTAAACCTCGTCACTCCGGGAATGGGAGGGGTGGTGGTGGACAGAGCCAGGGTGGAGGGGTGGTAGGGAGGGACAGAGAGTAGAAAATGCTGTTAAAAAGGTGGGAAGAGGCAATTGAGACGTTATATTTATTTACACGACGCAGAAAGACTGATTCCGCTGAGAGAGAGAGAGAGAGAGAGAGAGAGAGAGAGAGAGAGAGAGAGAGAGAGAGAGAGACAGACAGACAGACAGACAGACAGACAGACAGACAGACAGACAGACAGACAGACAGACAGACAGACAGACAGACAGGCAGACAGGCAGACAGAATATGGACAATTGAGACATAACACGTATTTATAAGTCGTAGCAAGACTGATTTCGCAGAGAGGGAGAGAGAGAGAGAGAGAGAGAGAGAGAGAGAGAGAGAGAGAGAGAGAGAGAGATGAGCAACCAGACAGACGTAAGGCCCAAACCACCCAGCAAGCAAGAAGTAGCAGAACCGGTTAGTAGAGCACCGCGCGACACAGAAATTTGTCCCCAATGGCCTACCACTTGCAGCCACTCTCCCAGTGTGCGGGCCATATAGAGCTCTCAAGTGCAGACTACCGTGTACCCAATAGAGTGAGAGCGACGTATTATATAGCGACCGTTTGAATGGGAAAACCTAGTCTGCGCCAAACTATACTGAATCGGCTTTTACTAAAAGTTTAAGAGACAACTTAGTATAGATCTATATATATTAATAGACCCTATAGTAATGTAGTTATGATATCTTCCTATCTAGTTTGGCATTCATATTTCTATACTTTAACAAATTAATTAATATGCAAGCATTTAGGTTGGCCAATTCGGACAAGAGTTTAAGTTTAAGTACCGGATAGTTTTTTCCCCACTTTGTGACAAATTATGATGTTGTTAAATACTTGGTTTTTTATTTTAAAAGGCAGTAGATCTGTATAGCTAGAGCATGTCTGCTGGTCGACGGGAAAACATTCGACAATGGTCGGGTCGCACCTGGCAGAAAGAGTGGGGTGCACTCAGAGTGAAGATTTAAATTTGGGATTAGAAATTTTGGATGCCACTCTTCTTCACTAAAAGTAAACAAAACAAATCAAAACAAACAAAAACAAACAAACAAAAATAATAAATACCAGTTTCCGAAAAAAAAATGTACGACATTGTAAATGTTTGACACCCCTTGCAAAAAATTGAAATCTTGGGTTAGAAGTTTTGGATGCCGTTCTTCTTCACTAAAAACAAATTAAGCAAATTATAAAAAAAAAGAATCAAACAAACAAAAACACAAAAATAATAAATAAAACACATGTTTCCGAAAAAAATTGTAGGTCTACGACATTGTAAATGTTTCACACCCCTTACAAAATTGTTAGGCTATGGCGGGACCTCCGAATTTAATGTCCATCTCCTTTTTTTTCTTTTCTTTCATTTGGTAAGTGTTTTACGGCGCTCGCAACTGCATAAGGTCATATGAGCGCGCGGGACACATTAAACTTTTTCAGTTGGTAGGAAATTTTGAATTTGGCCCGGGTAGCGGCGGAAGCCTACTCTTATCGATTTTAGACCACCAAGAGATTTTTTGCGTGCGCAACTTGCACACGGGACCTCCGAGATTTTTCGCCCTTGTCCGAGAAGGTGTAGATCTTTCCTACCAGAAGATCAGTTTTTTCTCTGAAAGACAGCAGTAAGAAGGAACCAAGAAGTAGCAGTTGAAACGCTGCAGAAAGAGTCAGAGGCCCAGAGGAGGGAGCAAAGGGGGTGAGGGGGTGGGGGGCAGAAAGTGGAGACGAAAGCAGACGACAGAACATTGCCAGAGAAGGTGAAAGGAGGTGAAAGTAGACAAGTTTAGAGAGGAAAATTTTCCGTCGCTACCCAGATTCGAACCCGGGACCTTTGAATGGGAAGCGAACACCTTAACCTCTAGGCCACGAGACCCCACTCTTCTATCTCCGATAGGGCAGAGACAAAAGAGTACAGTGTACAGTGCTGCCTTTCCCAAGGACACAACATCGGACTGACCTGAGCCCAAAGATCCAGTGCGTGTGTGTGTGTGTGTGTGTGTGTGTGTGTGTGTGTGTGTGTGTGTGTGTGTGTGTGTGTGTGTGGCTCTTTTCGTCTATGCAGACGGTCAGTTTAGCCTAAGATGGTCTCAAGGTTGTCTTCATGCAATAAATCTTTAATAAATATCTCTCTCTCTCTCTCTCTCTCTCTCTCTCTCTCTCTCTCTCTCTCTCTCTCTCTCTCTCTCTCTCTCTCCTCTCTCTCCCCTCTCTATCTATCTATCTCTTCTCGCTCTCTCTCACTCTCTTCCTTCCTCCCTCCCCAGGGCCGCGTTACCCGTAAGGCTGTTTAGGCTGTAGCCTAGGGCCCCGCGCCTCAGGGGGCCCCGCGCCTCAGGGGACCCCGCGCTTGCAAACACGACCTTTAAAAATATTTTTCAACAAAAAAATTGTTTACAAATTTGGACTGTAGCTTCGAAACTGCCTTGGTCAAAGCTACGATAATGCTAGTAACATGGCTGGACGCCTCAGTGGTGTACGTACAAGCCGTGTCAAAGAGATTAATCCCAAGACTTACTTTGTCCCCTGCTCGGCTCATTCTCTAAATCTGGTTGGTGTTTGTGCAGCTGAATGTTGCGTAGACGCAGCATCATTTTTTCGGATTCGTCCAAGCATTGTACAACTTCCTTTCAAGCTCCACACATCGTTGGGGCTTGTTTGTAAAACGTATCGATAGCCCTACACCCAAATCATTGTCAGGAACTAGATGGTTTGCCCGACATGATGCAACAGTAGCATTAAAATCCAACTACAAAAAGATTATATCATTACTGCTTGACATTTCTCGTGACATGAAAGAATCCCCCCAAACGCGTGATGAGGCGTCATCCTTGCACAACAAGATGGAAAATTTTGAATTTGCTGTGCTGTGTGTGTTTTGGGAACAAGTTCTAGCACGCTTTAACACTGCCAGCAAAACACTTCAGAAACCATCACTCAACGTGGGAGTCGTAAACATGCTGTACGGTTCTCTAGTTCTGCTTTCTTAACAGGACTTCGGGACGATTTCGAGCGAATGGAACAATCAGCCACATATTTCGTCGAAAAGCCTTCCTACCAATACAAACGCATTGCAAAACGCAAGCGTTTCCATGACGAAACAAAAGATGTTGAAGCTGTTTTGCTGCACCGGGAGCAATTTAGAATAAACACCTTCCTTGTCATCGTTGACGGCCTTTTGTCTGAACTTGAAAAGCGAGAGACATCTACCAGACTCTGGCTCAAGATTTTGACATTCTCTTTTATCTTCACAAGAAGCCTGCCACAAGCATTCGAGACACAGCATCTCGCATTCAGCAGCAATATGAGGACGACCTAGAGCCATCATTTCCTGACGAACTAGTGTCGCATTCAAGATATGTCAACTCAGCATTTCAGTCTGAGGATACACTTTCTCCTCCCCGGCTCCTTCAAGATCTGCGCGAAAGTGGTGCAACAACAGCTTTCCCAAATGCAGAGATCGCACTGAGGCTCTTTCTCACCATGCCTATCGCCAACGTAGAGGGTGACAGATAATAATAATAA